CGCCGACTTAGGCCCGGTCTTGGAGCAACTTCATCCATTCCCTCCATTGCATCCGCGCTCGATACACGCTCCCGCGTACACCTCCAATGAAACCCTAGCCCGTTTGCAGTTGGGCTCCACACATTTCTCTCCTCCCGATCCACGAAGTCAAGCAGACCTCAATTTGAGAGTTGACCAGCTAGCTCTGAGAATGGACGACCAAAGCAATTTGATAAGGCAGCTCCTCAACCAAATCAATCTAGCTCAAAACCTTGGCCTTGGACCACTGGGCGAAGAGAGAAGGATGGACGACTGCGCCAACAAGCGGATCGACGGGCGCCGAGCAGGTCAAGCAGGCATGAGCAGACAAGGAAAGGGACAACAACGTGATCAGCTCGCCAACATGTCACAAGCATCCGCAAGCCACACTCAGAGCAACATGCGAGGAAGGCAGGGCCCACGACTCCACGTCCGCGACCGTCTAGGCCCGCAGAGGAATGCTCCTCAAGGGCTAGGCTCCCAGAGAAGTCAGCCTAACGACCATCGCAATGAGGATCGTGAAGAAAGGCGCTCTGCTGTTCACTCGCAGAGGAACATTCTTCAAAGGCTAGGCTCCCATAGAGGTCAACCTGACAACCTTCACGGTGAGGATCGAGAGGAAAGGCGCTCTGCTGCTTACTCTCGAAGAACCGATTCTCGTCGACAAGCTACGGAGGATCACTCGCAAGCGCAGTCCAAAAACACGCCGCCTAGGCAACGCAGCCGAGAAGCTCGAACCTTGCGAATCAACGAGGAGGTCAATCAACGTCGCCCAGATCGCGAGGGTCATCAACGTGTCCAACCAGCAATGCGCGCAGAAGACGTCAAGAAGCTTGTGAATGACCAACTTTGAGACTTGAAGGCCGGCGGGAACTTCGATGACGCCCTACTCAAGGAGCAGGCGGCTCCCCCGAAGCGGTTCTCAACGCCTTCGTTTACGCCCTTCAAGGGAAACTCCGATCCCGAGAGCCACCTAAAACACTTCAAAAGTGTCATGATCCTCCACAAGGCCGACGACGCGTTGATGTGCAAGGTGTTTGTGATGACCTTGCGGGGAGCAGCTTACGACTGGTTCCATACCCTACCATCCGGGTCAATCAGCAACTTCAAGGAGCTGGCATACGTCTTTGCCAAAGAATATACGTCTTATCGGACAATCAAGAAGAACCCCGACCACCTGTTCAACCTATGTAAGAAGTCCGACGAATCCCTTCGACACTACATCAAGAGATTCAAAGCAGAAAAGGCCAACATTGTAGGATGTGACGACCGGATCGCGTCCTCTGCCTTCAAGAGAGGCTTGCCAACTGAGTGTGAGCTGTATCGCGAGCTGACCATCTCTCCCTGCCAAACACTGGAAGAAGTCTTCG